TAATACTTCAAAATATGTGACTAATATATTCTCCTTCACTTGAAGGATAAAATGGTTCTATAAACCAATCAGAAAGCAACTACTTGGAGATAGATCAGTGATTGATATTTGCTTCTTAGGTATTCATTAAACACATTAGTAATCTGTTAGTTATTTGGTATGACAGAAAACATTTTGTGACAATGTTTTTAAAGATTTTATTTTTTGACAGAGAGAGAGAGATAGCGAGAGAGGGAACACAAGCAGGGGGAGTGGGAGAGGGAGAAGCAGGCTTCCCTCTGAGCAGGGAGCCCGATGCAGGGCCCGATCCCAGGACTCTGGGATCATGACCTGAGCTGAAGGCAGACCTTAACAACTGAGCCACCCAGGCGCCTCTCATGTGAAAGGTTTTTTTAATAAGGTTTCTTAATGTTAGTCATTTTATAAATAGGTTATTTAAACTGTCTTTTTTTCCATGTAGATGGGTATGTAGAAAATGCTAAAGTGTGTTATTCTAAGGAATTTTAGACTTATTATTTCTGTAAAAGTAGAGACGGAGTAGCAGTTGCAGCAGTACCTATTCCCATTTGTTAAAAGCTATCGGGCTGGACACTGTGCTAACTGATTGCATTATCTTCTGTAAGGAACTATGTGAAGTAGGTATTATCTTCATTTCACAAATGAGGAAACTGTACTCTTCATTTATCTCCTCTATGAAACTGAAAAAAATGGACTTTCTTATTTGAGCTTATATTTCTCTCAGCACCTAGTTCAGTGTCTTGCACTAGTATGTTGTATGTGTTTAATACGTATTTTTTGATTAAGTTAACAAAGGATTGTTAGTTGAATTAAATTAAATTGTAACTTACAGATAATTTAACAAAGATCACTCTTGTGTACTTTTTTCTGGCAATAACTTAGAGGCTCAGGACATAAATTAGGAAGTATTCCTAAAAAAATGAAGAAGAAAAATACATAATTAAGGTGGAGAGGAAAATGTCAAGAATCCTAGGGTTTAACCGGGTAATTGGACAAAAGAAAGAAAAAAATAGAGGTAACTATAAATTAATTAACCACTGCATCATAGTAATTAATTCTGCTATTTTTAACTACAAAATAGCTGGATTATATATAGATTTAAAATGAATGCATGATTATAGCAAGAGTTGCATCTGACCTGAAACTTCTTTTTCTCCCCAAGTATAACGTACAGTTCATCCAGCCTTCTGTGCTTGCCAAAAGAATAAATGTCTTTCCAATACTTTCATAGAAAATTGTCTAGTAGTACATTATAGTTAATTTTTCCCATGATTTTTCTAGATGGAAGAGCCTACCCTTCTTCTTTCCAGCTACCTGATAGCTATTAACTGTGCTGCATGTATATCCAAATTGTATCTATATTCACTCATGTATTTTAAATAACTAGTTTAAATTGCAGTGAAATTGCACCCTGTGTTTTGCATTCATTTTACTGAGCCCTGCTACTGCAGTCTCAGTACTTATTCAATGCTTGCTAGTGGATTACTTATAGCTATCCTACTCAAGTGATCATGTAAATCCTCCCTTCATTTTGAGAATTGTAGGTTTTGAATACAGAAAACATTTTCATAATACCTGTATTATCGCAGTGTTATGGTTCTGACACTGTTTTCATTAAAACTTGCCATTTATAGGAATTTAGATTTGAATCATTTTAAAATCTCACTAGGTGCAGAAGCTATGTGTCTGATAGATAGGTGTGGATGGTAGGCTTTTGCTTTATTGTTTAGTTTTAATGTTAAGGGCTGTTTTCAGATACACCCTCTTTTTTTCTTCCTGCATTTTCTCAAAATTAATGAAAGATTTGTTCTTATAACAAGTTATCTATAAATTATTTTTCTTGAATTTGAAGTCATAGCTATCCTAAGGAGAAATGGAAAATTTGCTATTAGCATGAAATAGTAATGTATATGATTGACTGAGGGTGTAACATTAGATTATTTTATATGGAAGTCAATTTTATTTTAATTTTAAATGTCACAGAATCACATTTTGAGTACAGACTTGCTGTAAGTGTTTTTCTTTTAATTATTCCTTTATATCATGGGAATGGAGGGAGGAAATTCTTGCTTTTCATGCTCTCTTTGTCTTTGAGTTATTTCATTTTTTATTCCTTTACTGTCATTGTAGTAGGGTATTAGGAGAGAGGAGACAAATACCTGTGGTCAACCAACTGTGTTAAATGAAAGTTATTTGTTTCTTTAGAATGAATTTTAATGCAATAGTTAAATATTTCCAATATAAAGTATGTGAAAGTATATGATGGCAGGAACTATATGTTTTATGGGGGTTTTTTTTAGCTCTACTTTTTATAATATGGGTCTATCATGTTTGTTACTATTATTGAAAAATTGATACTACTTGAGGGTAAAAAAGGACTGATGGGAGGCTCAATAGTGGAGTGGTTAAAAGCACTGAGCTGGACTTCTGCTTCTGGTTATCAAGGAATAACTAGTATTACACTAACCTCCCCCCCAGAATAACTATAAAAGCTGGAGGAATAAAAACAACTGTTTGAAGGTATTGGTGAACACCCAAAACAGTTAGGACATGAGGGCCTAGATCCAAGAGATTGAGAAAAGATTAGCTATACTCTGAGAAGTACCTGACCTTTTATGTCACAATTTTTCCTTAAAGCAATTTTTGACTTCTAAGCAGCACAAATGTAGGATCAGACCCTGAGAAATCAAGACAAAAGTAGTTGCTAAGAGCCTAAAAAGCTAAGTAGAGATTTGGGAATCTCACAAGGCCTTAGGGACAAAACTTAGATCTAATAGCCAACCAGGAAGAGGCCTGGGAAACATCCCAGACTTTCAGTTGAGACCGCAGAAAAGCTACCATAGGGAATAGACCAGTCTCAACTGGATCAATAGGTAATCTACTTATATTCTGTCTGTTTTCCAGAAGAAAATTAAATCTTCTGTTGAGGAAAACATCATGAAGAACTACAGACTTTCATCCATAGTGTCCAACATTCAGTAAAAAATTATCAGACATGCCAAGGAATAAGACTAAGTGACTGAAAAACCAAGAGAAAGCAGACAGTAGAAAGTGATCCACTGGTATCCACAAACTAGCTTCATCAGACAAAGACTTAAATTAGTATGTTTTGGGTGGGTGGGTGGTTCAGTCGGTTAACCGTCTGCCTTCGGCTCAGGACATGGTCTCAAGGTCCTGGGATCAAGTCCTGAGTCAGGCTTTCTGCTTGGCGGGGAGTCTGCTTCTCCCTCTCCCTCTGCCCCTCCACTCATGCTCTCACTTTGTCAAATAAATAATTTTCAAAAATTATCTTTATGATCATGTTGCAGTAAAGTTACATTCTCTTACCACTTTTGTTGGAAAAATTACACTGGATTTAGTCATTGTTCTAAGAATTAGCATATTAAAATTCTAACCTAAATTTTGTTAACTATAAGCTTATATAAATTTATTTTTGTAATATTATTATTTCATTTTAAAGACCTAATCAGTCCTTTTCCTCCACTATTTACCATGAAATTTTGATTCTTATTTTAAATGTGCTGCTTTAAATGGCTATTTTCTAGTACCATTTTCTTTTGATAATGAGAATTTCTTGTATTTATTCAGAGGAAGGCTTTTAAACCTATTCTGAAACTCTTCAGGAAAGATCCTTTTTTGAATTGTTAACTGTGGTCATCCCAACTGAAATTGGACCAGGGGACTTTCACTTCTTTACATTCACAGAGCTACATATCTATGTCAAAGTGCATCAATATCTATCTCTCTGGTCTCTCCATTTCCTAAGACAGTAGTGGCATTTAGTAGATGCTCAATAAGTATGTGTTGAATGAATGAGAACTAAATAGAGAAAAATCCCATTCTTGTCTTTAGAGAATTTATAATCTAATGGCAGAGATAGGACCAATATATACAAAAGATCAGGAATGCTTATAGGAAAGGAAAACCTTATTCCAATTAAGCTTAATGGTAAGTTTTAATTTGAAGGAGTTTTAATTTGATTCAGGGGGAATTGAGAGTCAAATTTTTGGGAAGAGAATTATGACATGTTAGAAGAAGGTATTTGGGCTACTTTTGGAGGACTGCATTATGTAGGGATAAGATTATTCATCTTGTCATTAGGAGTTAGATCTGGAACCACATCTTTGACTATGGAAATGTATAGCAGGGAGCAGAGCTGTCTGAAGGCATGATTGGCTTTTTAAATTTTTTGGTGGAAATACCTTGCAAATATGGAATTCTGAGACTCTCTGTAACAATGGTCATGTTGTGTTTGCTAAAGAGATAAAATAGATTTTTTTCTATTTTTCTAAAATAAAAAACTCCTTAAAATATCAAACTTCACATATGAAAACAGAAAACAAAATATAATGCCATCTATTTTCATCACACACAATGGACATTTAAGTTTTTTAAGTAGTCCAGCAGAATTATGTTCATAAAAATTCCATTAACCAATAATGTGTTTTGTCTCCTTCATTCCCACTTTGGTTACAATTCACACTTTCAGATAAGGGTATCAAAGTCAGGTACAGAAATTATTATAGGAAAAGTAGTATATTATTTTATAAAGAACATCTTGTATAATATTGGAAACCAAGCACAATAGTCTCTTAATAGTTTGTTCCCAGAATGAATAGACTCAGATAGTAGTTACTGATATTGTCAGTTCACTGCTAACTAAATACATCTTAAAAATTTTTGTTAAGGGCAACAAGACTGAGCATATTTTGCATTTTTTATTCCTTCTTAAGAAGTTATGATTTTACCCTGATAAATGGTTTTGAGACTTTGTATTTTATATTTTCTAAAAAAATCTTCATTACCAACAGTGGAATGAAACTAATATTTATGATACAGGGTTCGTTTAGAGTCAGTCTCTAATTTATACCTAGATCCTTATCTCATGTTATATATTATCAATAGAGAAAGCAGTTCATATTAACAGTATATCAATCTACAAATTCATATGTATTTGATGATTTTTAAAATGATTTCCCTAGGAAGTATAACTTTTGAAACAATGATGGAAATTCTCCGAGATAAACCAAGTGGCATTAATATGGAGGGAGAATTCCTGACCACTGCAAGCATGGTTTCTATTTTACCCCAAGACTCCAGCCTTCCTTGCATTCACTTCTTTACTGGGACTCCTGATCCTGAGAGGTAAAGTCATAGAATATTGTAAACCAGCAAGGGGTCAAGGAGTGGGGTAGTCATTAGTCTGTTGGTGATTTTGCCAGGCTAAATTTTTCTTACACAAATATGACAATAATTTTTGGATGCATTTTCTGTTCAGGTTGTAGTTTGCCATTTCCATATGTACGTAACTGCCAAAACTATTCTCATTTTTATAGGACAATATGTTAATAGATTCTTGTATGCAGTTATCCCTATTCTCTTTCCCCAAATATATTTAAAATTGTCAAGAAAAGTATATGGTTTTCTTTTGCAGATTCAATATTACAATATTAGATGATTAATAACAGTAAAAAGATTAAATGATGTAGTTGAGCTGGATTTAGATGGTTACTTATCTACTCATATCTATAAAATACATGCATATAAAATGTAAGCTATCAGTAGTTGAAGTTATATCTAAAGCAGGATTTGTACAGACTTATCTTTAGTCATTAGTGTCTCATAGAACTTAATGTACATTACATTTAGAAATGATCTTATAGTCACTATCTCCTAGTGTTATGGTCTTTCATGTTATTAAAGATATTTTCAAGAAGATGGGATGAGACTCATGAATACCTTAATACTGCTGCTGATTTTCATTCCAAATCCTAATCCTCAATCTGTAACACTGAGGCTTGTTCTTACCCTTCAACTGTGGAGTTTGCAGTAGAAAATGATGAACTGTAATTTCACTTGGCACTGTTTCTGTGCCAGCCCCTTTGTTAGGTTCATGGGGATACTGAATAAAGTGTGCTCCCCAGCCCCAAAGGAGAGCCCGGTGTATCAGGAAAGACAGACACGGGTATAAGTAGTATGACAGGAACGACTAGTATGTAACAAATTAATAGAGACTAGAGGAAATCTTAAAAGATTTAGAATAATGCTGAATATTTTTATATCCCCACAAGCCAATTTAATGAAGACTTTTTCTTCTAGATCCATTTTTAAGCCTTTCATATTTGTACCAAATATTCCACCACTATTGGATACCAGTTCACCAACATTTGCACTTGAAGATCCAGTTAAAAAGAAGCCACGTTTTCAGTTTAAGCCTGACAGAAGACACCCACTCTACCAAAAACATCAACAGGCATTGGAAATAATAGATAAAAAGGAGGTATGATTAAATTATATTCTGTTTTATTATTAAGAATGGTTTCAAGTATGATTCAATCCACATTTTAAACTTCGGAATTTCAGCTTTCTTTCCTTCCTTCATCTAAAAATAGGTTTAAAAATAGTTTAGATGTTTAGATTATAGACCTGTAATTGAAGGTTAAAAATAATGGTTAAGAATGCATTGTGAGCCTTTCCGCGCTACCCAGGGAAGTGTCCATAGGCGTTGTTTTGCGTTCCTGTTGTAACTTAAAGGGAAACTTTTACAATGTCCGGAGCCCTTGATGTCCTGCAAATGAAGGAGGATGTCCTCAAATTCCTTGCAGCAGGAACCCATTTAGGGGGTACCAACCTTGACTTTCAAACGGAACAGTACATCTACAAAAGGAAAAGTGATGGTATCTACATCATAAATCTGAAGAGGACCTGGGAGAAGCTTCTTTTGGTGGCTCCTGCCATTCTTGCCTTTGAAAACCCAGCTGATGTCAGTGTCATATCGTCCAGGAATAGTGGCCAGCGAGCTGTGCTGAAGTTTGCTGCTGCTACCGGAGCCACTCCTATTGCCGGCCGCTTCACTCCTGGAACCTTCACTAACCCGATTCGGGCAGCCTACCGGGAGCCGAGACTGCTGGTGGTTACTGAGCCCAGGGCTGACCACCAGCCTCTTAGAGGCGTCCTATGTTAACCTGCCTGCCATCGCTCTGTCTAACGCCGACTCTCCTCTGCACTATGTGGACATCGCCATTCCTTGCAACAACAAGGGAGCTCGCTCGGTGGTCTGACGTGGTGGAGGCTGGCCAGGGAAGTTCTGCGCATGCGTGGCACCATTTCCCGTGAACACCCATGGGAGGTCGTGCCTGATCTCTACTTCTACAGAGATCCTGAAGAGATGGAAAAGGAAGAGCAGGCCTCTGCTGAACAGGCTGTGACCAAGGAGGAATTTCAAGGTGAATGGACGGCTCCAGCTCCTGAGTTCACTGCTACTCAGCCTGAAGTCGCAGACTGGTCTGAAGGCCTGCAGGTGCCCTCGGTGCCTATTCAGCAGTTCCCCACTGAGGACTGGAGCGCCCAGCTGGCCACTGAAGACTGGTCTGCAGCTCCCACTGCTCAGGCCACTGAATGGGCAGGAACAACCCCTGAGCGGTCTTAAGCTGCTCTTCCACAAAGCAAACAGAATGGAAATAGAAATGGGAAAGGTTGACGGAAAATAAACAGTTTGTAAAAGTAAAAAAAAAAAAAAAAAAAGAATGTATTGTGAATCTTTTAGGGAAATTTAATATATTAAATGTAATAACAGTACCTAACATTTACTGAGCACTTACTATCCAACAGCATCATGGTACCATTACACAGAATATTTTATTTAATCTTCACATTCTTTATGAGTAGCTACTATTATTATGTCCATTTTTATGAGTAGCTACTATTATTATGTCCATTTTACTGATAAAGAATCTGAGACTTAGGGAGTTTAAGCAGCTTACATCGTTTATATCTCACACCAAAAATGACAAAGCTACTGGAGGGCAGTTAACATAGTCTCTTACATAACGTTCTGAATCATATAGCCTTAGATTAATTTTAATGGAAAGTGCTTAACACCCCTTAGACTTAAAATAATAATAATGAGTTGGAGTTTAAAAAAAACGATAAATGCTTGCGATTTTTAAATGTAAGCATTATAGAAGATTAACATGTCATCCAAAATCTCATCTCTAGAAATAAGCAGATATATTTTGGGGGAGACAGATAGATACACATATAGATTGACAATTTTATAATATCCATACTTCTTCAGCTCTCTTGCCCTCTTCCCTCTCTGCCCCAGAGATAAAAAATAGACTAGAAGGAAATGGAAGGGCTACCTAAAGGTTTTTTACAGAACCATCAACTCACTTCCTTCAATGAAGGAAAATATTGGCCATCTTATACCTTTTCTCACCTGTTTATACTCTATTGCCTATAATTCCTTTTACTTCATCAAGGTATATACATTTACATTCTTTCTACATAAAGTGAATTAAATTAATTGTCCTCCAGGTAATTATTTATTGACTTTTGTCTGTAGTATGTTTGCATGGTTGCCATTCCCCCGCCTGCTTTGCTTACACTTAAAGCAGATAGTTCTGTCCAGACCTGCTATTTGCTGTGAATTCTTGACACTATTCTTGCTTTATTTTTTTATATTATATTTATTTATTTTATTAAAATAATATATTTTTTATATTATATTTATTTATTTATTAAAACTTTGAGTGTAGGGGCACCTGGGTGACACAGTCAGTTCAGCGTCTGATTCTTGGTTTCAACTCAGGTCGTGATCTCAGGGTCATGAGATTGAGCCTGACATGAAGCCCAGCATCGGCCACGTGTGGGCCCCGTGCTCAGCGAGGAGTCTGCTTAGGACTCTCTCTTCCTCTCCCTCTGCCCCTCCCCTCCTTCAAATAAATCTTAAAAAAAAACCAAAAACTTCGAGTGTAAACACTTTTTGTAGCCTGGTGGCCTGGAGTGAGAGGCAAGCAATTTGTCCCAGGAGCCCATTAAGTGTGCTGATGAGAGCCCAATCCACTGGCCATGGTGTCATACACTGCCTGAGCTTGGCTTACCCTCCAGACTCAGCACAGCTCTGTGAAGAATGATGAGCCCTTTGGTTCCTCTTGCCTTGATGCTCAAGTTCCTCAGTGATATGTTTCAAGACTATCTGCTCTGGGGGGATTTTCCCTCATTCCTCCCTGAGCAGCCTCTACACTGCACTAATTGCTTACTATAGTTCTCAAGAGTTGTCAGCTCCCTTTTCCCCTCAATACTGCTTCTGGAAGGTTGGTTTTGTAGACTTATTATTAAATATTTGTTTAATTAAATTGCTGATTGACATTTTTCTAAGTAATACTGAAATTAAAATTTAAAAGCTGTTGTTACTGTTTTAGGCTTTACTTAATAGGCATTAAATGTTGATTGACAACAGAAAGTAGTGGAAAGACAATAGAATTTGAGGGAAGAAGTGTCAAAGAGCTGGGTTCTAGTCTACTTTTTTTTTTTAAATTTAAGTATAGTCGACACATGATGTTAACATTAGTTTCAGGTGTACAATATAGTGATTGGACAAGTCTATACATTATACTATGCTCACCCCAAGTGTAGCTGCCATCTGTCACCATATGGTATTACAATACCATTAACTATATTCCTTACATGCCTTTTATCCCCCGTGACTTATTCATTTCATAACTGGACATCTGTATCTCCCTATCCTCTTCACCCATTTTGCTCACCCCCTCACCCCCCTCTCCTCTGGCAACAATCAATCTGTTTGCTATGTATTTATGGGTCTATTTTTGCTGTTTGTTTCGTTTTTTAGATTCCACATCCAAGTGAAATCATATGGTATTTGTCTTTCTCTGGTTCTAATCTACTTTAATGTCTTAGAGAGAGTCAATGCTACTTTTAATTTACATTTTTTAAAGATTTTATTTATTTGAGAGAGCGTGCGCACAAGCATGAGCAGTGGGGAGGGGCAGAGGGAGAGGGACAAGCTGGATCCATCCCAGGACCCTGAGATCATGACTTGAGCTGAAGGCAACCGGTTTTTTTTTTTTTAAAGATTTTATTTATTTATTTGACAGAGACACAGCAAGAGAGGGAACACAAGCAGGGGGGAGTGGGAGAGGGAGAAGCAGCCTTCCCGAGGAGCCTGGAGCCCGATGTGGGGCTTGATCCCAGGACCCTGGATCATGACCTGAGCCAAAGGCAGACGCTTAACTGAGCCACCCAGGCACCCCCGAAGGCAGCTGCTTAACTGCTTAACCAGCTGAGCCACCCAGGCGCCCCTTAATTTACATTTCTTGATTACTAATGAGGTTAAAAATCTTCTCATATGTTTATTGGCCATTAGTATTTCCTCTTAAATGACTTGCCTCTTCTTTTCCTTAGCCTATTTTTCAATTGTTTGTTGGTTGTTTTTGTCTTTTGCCTCAAAGAGGCAAAAATGTGTGAATTTTGAGTCTGTTATATTGCAGATTTTTCATCAGTTTACTGTTTAACTTTTTTGTCTGACAGAAAAGTTTTAAGTTTAGTCAATTACATTTGTTAGTCTTTTCCATTAAGGCATCTTGATTTTATGCTTGAAAGGCCAGCCTCACCTCAAAATAAAGATAACTTCTGGGGCACCTGGGTGGCTCAGTCATTAAGCGTCTGCCTTCGGCTCAGGTCATGGTCCCAGGGTCCTGGGATCGAGCCCCGCTTTGGGCTCCCTGCTCCGCAGGAGGCCTGCTTCTCCCTCTCCCACTCCCCCTGCTTGTGTTCCCTCTCTTGCTGTGTCTCTCTCTGTCAAATAAATAAATAAAAAGATAACTTCTGTATTTTTTTCCAGTATGTATATGTGTGTTTGAAAAAAATATTTAGTTCTTTAATTTGTCTGAAATTTATTGTTGTGTATGTAATGAAATAGGGATTCTGTTTTCCAAGAGCTGACTAATTATTCCAATACCATTTGTAGACAAAATACATTTTCCCCACTGATATGTAATGTAGCATTTCTTCAGAAAAATTAGATACAATTTGATTTTAAAGTGCACATTAAGGTTAAGAATCTTTGTTTTTTGGAGTTCTGTGCCATAATGGTTCAAATTTTTAAAGTTATGCTCATTTTCTTTTTTTTTAAATTTTATTATGTTATGTTAATCACCATACATTACATCATTAGTTTTTGATGTAGTGTTCCATGATTCATTGTTTGCATATAACA